CCTAGTTGTTTCCCTCTTAATCTTAGCTTAATTCAAATTACCTTTATTTTAATATACTTAATTTTAACTTTTCAATGAAAGAAACTCCTCCTTCTCCTTTCCCTATTGAAAAAGAAAGAAAAACAAAATCCTTGTAATAGATGTGTATAGTCAAGCATTAAAAATTCCCACATTAGCTATCTCCAAATGTGTCAGTCTATACCCTGAATTCGTCTGTCCCAAGGAGGGTAACATGTTTCGTCTTGAACCCTCTGGAATCCTGGATGGTTGTTGTGTTGATCAGTTTTTTTTTCCCCTCTTTTTCTTGACCCCCCTGTTTGTATTCCATGGTTTTTATTTATCTCTGGTCTTTTCATCAGTAATAGCTGGAAGTTCTCTATTTTATTAAAGGCCCATTTTTTCCCCCTGAAGGATTCCCACTCAGTTTTTTTGGGTATGTTATTTTTGGTTGTAAGTCTGTATCCTTTGCCTTCTAGAATACTGTATTCACCTGCATAGTGAAGGTTGCTAGATGTTGTTTGATCCTAACTGTGGCTCCTCAGGACTTGAGTTCTTTCATTGTGGCTGTTTGCAATATTTTTTCTTGGACACCTTCTGGCTTCCCGGGTTTTCTTTTCAGTTCCAACTAACGTCCCATCTTTACAGGACGCCTTTCCCATCTGCATATAACCCTAATGCCTTCTCTTTCTGAACTATTTCCTCTTTATCCCTTATATAGCTTGTTTGTACATATTTGTTTGCTTGTTGTCTCTCTCATTAGATTGTGAGCCCCTTTAAGGCAGCAGAGACAGTCTTTTGCCTCTTTTTTGTGTCCTTATCACTTAGCACAGTGCCTGGGAGTTTTTGTTTTGGGCTTTCTTTCAGCAGGTGACCAGTGGATTCTTTGTATTTCTATTTTGTCTCTGATTTTAAAATATCTGGGCAGTTTTCTTGAAATATGGTACCTACCACCCCTTTTTTTGTTTATGGCTTCCAGGCGGTCCGGTGATGATTAACTTATCTCTCCTTAATCTGTTTTCTGGGTTAGTTATTTTTGCTGCGACCTGCCTTACCCTTTCTTCTTTTTTTTCTGTCTTTTGACTTTGTTTTTAATATTTCTTGTCTAATGGCATCGGTAACGTCTGTTTGGTCATTTCTGATTTTCAGGGAGTCTTTTGCTTGGGTAAAGTTTTGTCCCTCCTGTGCCATGCTGTTAGTTTCCTTTCCAGTTCTTTCTCCCATAGCTCTCTTTTTTTTCTAGTTTTTTTCTTCTAGCTTGGTCAGTTAATCAACAAGTATTCATTGAATACTTGCCATATGCTCGGCACTGGCGATACAAACATAAAGAATGAAAATCCCTACTTACAGTGAGTCTATCTGTATTCTAATGGAGATGAGAACAAGTATATATAAAATTATATACCTTACAGACAAGAAGTTAAATACAAATCCATATATACACGTACACACATATGTGTATGTACACATATTCCTATTACATATACATATCTACATGTACACGTGTAGATATATCTATCTCTATGTATATCTACATTTATCTGGATGGATAGATAGATAGGGTTATAAATAGGGACTCTATGAGGCAGAGGTAAATAGGGAGGGCATTCCAGGCACGAAGGAATGGCCGTTGCAAAGACATAGAGTCCAGAGATGAAGTTTCATGGGTGACAGAGAGAAAACCAGTCTGGAGGAATAACGGTGTGAGAGGGAGAATAATGTCCAGTGAGGCTGGAAAGGTAGGTTGGGGTGAGGTTGTGTGGGGCTTTAAAAGCTAATGGAAGAGTTACTCTTTTGTCCTGGAGGCATTAGGAGGTCACATTTGCTCTTCACAACAACCATGGGGGCTAAGGGCTATTACTATTCCCATTTTAGAGTTAGGAAACTGAGGCAAACAGAGCTGAAGCGACTTGGGCCGGGGTCACACAGCTGGTAAGTGTCTGAGGTGGGATGTGACCTTGGGTCTTAGTGATTGCGAGTCCAGTGCTGTATCCACTCTCCTGCCTTGGCTTCCTCCTGTGGTCTCAGGCAGCAGCGAGTGCCTGACTTCAGGAGCTGGTAAGAGGTTGATAATCTTGTGCTGCACTTCCCGCTTCAGACCCCTGTATTCTTGTGCTCGCTTGTGCACGTGACATAGGTGGTGGACAGCTGGAGAGGGCAGTCAGAGTATGGAGGAGTCTTGAGCTCGTGCCGTCGGGGGATTAGCAGAAGCAAACGGGGATGTGTAGCCTGGAGAAAAGAAGAGTCAGGCTGTACAGAGTAGCTGTCTTCTAGTACCTGCAAGGTACTTACAGGAAAGCTAGACTGATTCCACTGGGCCTCAAGGCAGAACTAGCAGCAGAAATGGAGCTTGTCAAGGACAAATTTAGGCTTCCTGTCAGGGGAAAAAACCCAACAAAACCCAAAAAGACTTGTATCAGTTAGAACTCCCCAAGTATAGAATGGGCTGCTTCAGGAGAGAGTGGTTTCCCCTCACCGAATGACTGTAAGCAAAGACAGGATGCCCACTTGTCAGATGGGCCATACGGGGGATTGATTGTCTTTGTGTCTTCGTTGGACTAGAAAGACTGCCGATGTCCTTTCCAACTCTGAAGTTCTGTGATTATCTGTCACATCAGAGTGACAGCGTGATGGGCATACTACAAAGGCGCGTGATAGAGGTCAGCAGCATTATTCTTCACTTGATGCCACTTTCTGGGATGTCTCTGCACTTTTCTGGTAGCTTCGTCTCTATGCTCCCTATCGTGGTTCTGTCGCCTGTTCTTGGACGTGTTCTTTCCTTTATACAGAGACCTGTCAATACGCCTGTGGGAACCAAAGCATAGCATTGCCCTCTACTGCTCCAGGGAGTAAATGCATTCTCTTTTATGTGACAATATAGCTTTCCTGTCCCTTGCCAAACCTTCTACAAGCTAAATGTGTTTACTTTGGTCCCCAGACACTAAACCCCTATTTTGCTACTGTCCTGCTGGACACATAACAGTCAGTTCCTATCCCTCTTAAAATATGGTCCCCAGACCTGAACATTAACTGTAAATGTAGTCTAACCAGGACAGAGTACAGTAATCTTTTTAATTTCTGGCATATACACACAGACATAGAAATATGTGTTTCTTTTTCTTTCTGTCTCTCTATCCTCTCTGTCTCCTTCTCTTTGTGTCTCTCTCTCCTCTTTCTCTGTCTTTTTTATTTCTGTCTCTCTCCATGTATGTGTGGTATCTTTTTAATGTGGCCACAGAATATGATGTTAGTTTCATTTAGATTAAACTTATGCACAGAACCTGCTATCCAACCACAGCTCTCCAATCTTGTACTAATTTAGTTAAGGAAGGTTTGAACCTAACTGCAGGATTGATTCTGGTTGAATTTTATGGGTTTTTTAAAATGGCCTATTTTTCGAGTAGTGGAGGATTTTTGAAATCTTAATTCAGTGTCTTCTATTGCACTAGCAATTAAGTGGCTCAGTGAGTCCAGCGCCTGGGCCTGGAGTCAAGAAGACCTGAGTTCAAATCTGACCTCAGATACTTATTAATTCTGTGAGCAAGTCATTTAAAATCTGTTAGCTTCAGTTTCCTCATCTGTAAATGGGGATAATATCTTCTACCTCCTAGGATTTTGTGAGGATCAAATGAGATAATGTTTGTAAAGCAGTTGGTACAGTGGTTGATGTTAGCTATTATTATTAGCAATCCTACACAACTTTGTGTCATCTATAGAATTAATCGACTTGCCTTCCATATGTTCTTAGGTAGAATAGAGTCAGGACCTGTGCTTTTATTGGTTGAGGGAAGTCTTAAATGAACAAACTCCATCTACCAATTCAGGTTGGCAGTTACCTGAAGCACTTAGAGGCTATGTGACCTGTCCCCAGAATTCCAGAATCACATAGCCAGTATGTATCAGAAGCAAGACTTGAAGCCAGGTCTTGGTGGCTTTGAGACTGGATATCTACCGCACTAAGCTGTGTGAAAACCTTGGAAGGTATTGATAAATGTGTTGAATAGTAGAGTCCTAAAGGATTACGCTAGATATCCGTCACAGTTCTTAACAGTCCCTCCCAAGACTTTTGGGGGTTAAGTTATCTTAAACGATCACTACTTGTACTTTTTATCTATCACATATTTCTCTAAATTGTCTAAATAATTACCTTGAGAGATTTTGTCAAATGCCTTGCTGAAACTTAGATAAATTTTGATTCCATCATTCAAAAATCAACCAGTCAAGGGGCAGCTAGGTGGCACAGTGGATAGAGCACTGGCTCTGGAGTCAGGAGGACCTGAGTTCAAATCCGGCCTCAGACACTTGACACTTACTAGCTGTGTGACCCTGGGCAAGTCACTTAACCCCAATTGCCTCACCAAAAAACAAACAAACAAAAAAATCAACCAGTCAAGACAGTGTATTAATTTAAGACAAAAGGTCTTTTTTTTTTTTTTTGAAGGATTGTTCTTCATATACTCATAATGAGTCTTAGTGGTCAACATTTTCTTTCTTAACTACCTGGAAAACATCAGTTTTTAGATTATACATTTTTGATCAAGATTCAGCTCAGCAGATATTAGCCTATCTGTCTTTACTGAAAATTTAGACATTTTTCTTTTTTTTCTTTTTTTTAAAATTTATTTTATTTTTAATTTATGGGATAAAACAAGATTCCGTAACATAGTATAATAAAAAATGATTGCACGTCAAACAATTTAGACATTTTTCTAAAGATTATCAGCAGTGGTTCTATTATGAAATATACAGTTGGTTTTTCTGTACTCCAAAATATACTTCATTTAGTCTAGGATAGTTGAAATGATTTAGTGAAGAGCAGATGGAAGCCTAAGATGTGGAGACCACATGTCTTAGCCTTCTGTATGCTCTTTATTAAATAGCGTACTATTTTTAGATTGTTGATAATTTTTGGTAGAAAAAAAAAACAGAATCTAGAGCTGATTATAAAGCATTTTCCTCACAGAAAATATTTCATATATTCCCACTTTTATTCTTTCTTTCAGAGCACCTTAGTTCAGAGATTAGGTGTGCAACAACAGAGGCAGCTCCAGAGCTCCCCATTTCTGTGGGAGAGACCCTCCAGAATCCCTGGGATTCCAAGTTTGCAGAAGTGTGGGAGTGTGATATTAACTTAGAGCAAAAGAATGGCAAGCATGAAAAGCAATCCCAGCAAGTGCAAGTCATCCGCAGGAAAGCTTCCAAGTTTAATGCTAAGATAAGTAATGCCTTTGGAAAAGGCTTTAGTCTGGAGTCAGTCCTGGTTCCACAACACAAAGTTCTTATGGGCATGGGTCTGCATAAATGTGATACACATGGAAAAAGCTTCAAACAGTGCTTAGATAAAAGTAAACTGAATGGGATCTCAGCAGAGAGAAAGATTTGTGAATATCATAAATGTAGGAAGCCATGGAGTTGCCATTCAGACCTTATTCAACATCAGAAGAAAAATACTAAAGAAAAATTGTATGGATGTGGAAGAGCATTTGGCACTAGCTCATCCTTTACTAATGATCCAGTGATTCATTCTGCACAGAAACCCTTTCAGTATAATGAATGTGGAAAATCCTTTGGCTGGTCTGGAGACCTAAGTGAACATAAGCGAAATCACACTGGGAAAAAACCCTCTGAACATAGTGAATGTGAGAAATCTGTTGGGTGCTGTGGAGCCCTGACTAAACATAAGAGATGTCCAACAAGTGAGAAACCCTTTGAATGTAATGAATGTGGGAAGTCTTTTGGGTGGCGTGGAGACCTTACTAAACATATGAGAATTCACACTGGAGAGAAACCCTTTGAATGTAATGAATGTGGGAAATCGTTTAAACAGCCTGGACACCTTACTGGACACAAGAGACTTCATACCAAAGAGAAACCTTTTGAATGTAATGAATGTGGGAAATCCTTCAGGTGTTCTGTATACCTTGCTAAACATAAGATTATTCATACCAGTGAAAAACCTTTTGAATGTAATGAATGTGGGAAATCCTTTAGGTGTTCTGGATACCTTACTAAGCATAAGAGAATTCATACAGGTGAGAAACCTTTTGAATGTAACGAATGTGGGAAATCCTTTCAACAGAGTGGTAATCTTACTGTGCATAAGAGAATTCATACCGGAGAGAAACCTTTTGAATGTAATGAATGTGGGAAATGCTTTAGAAGGAGTATAAAGCTTACTGCACATAAGAGAATTCATACTGGAGAGAAACCCTTTGAATGTAGTGAATGTGGGAAAGCTTTTAGGTGGAGTGGAGACCTTGCTACCCATAAGAGAAGTCATACTGTAGAAAAACCTTTATAATGTAATGTACATGGGAAATCCTTTAGGTGGTGTGGATACCTTACTAAGCATAAGAGATTTCATGCTAAAGAGAAATTCTTTGGAGCTAATTACTGTAGTAAAGCCTTGGAACAGCATGGAACTCTTACTGACTATAAGAGTGGTCATATTGGAGAGAAACCTTTTGAAAGTAATGTGGGCAATCCTACGAGAACATGGAAAACTTATTGAAGATGAGATTTTTCTCCTGGAGATAACATTGGAATGTAACTAATATGGGAGAGCTTTTCCTCAGCATGATCATCTTTCTGCACAAAAGGGAATTCATACCAGAGAGAATCCATTTGTGATGAATATAGGGAAATATTTCGGGTTGTCTGGAGATGTTACTAAACATGAAAGCATTCACACTGGAGAGAAATGACCTTTGTAGTCAGAGAACCTAGGTTCAAAGTTCATTTATGTAACTTATAACCTGTGTGACCTTGGATAAGTCACCTGATCTCTCTGGGCCTCAGTTCTCTCATCTCCGAAGTGAGGGGATTGGACTAGATCTTAAATGAGGGTATTGGACTAGATCCTTTATCAGAGAAGTTTGCTTCACTTCCCCTTCCTGCACCATTAACTGTTTTTATTCTAAGTCTACCTGGATTGATTTTGCTTATGCAAAATCTTTTCCATTTTATGTAATCAAAGTTGCCTCTTTTTCACAATTGATCCCCTTTATACAGATTCATAAAATTTGAGAGTTAGAAGAGACTGCAGCAGTCATCTAGACCAAATCCATAAATGAAAGGAATCCCCACTTTAACATATACCCTTCAAGTAGAGGGAACCCATCACCACTTTTGTGCAGCTCTAATTGTTGAAAGTCTTTTCCTCACTTTGGGCCTCACTTTGTCTCCTTTCTTTCTTCCCTCTGAGACCAACCAGAATAAGGTTAATTCCTCTTCCCCATGAAGACACCTTCAAATACTTGAAAATAACTCTCATATTCTCCCTGAGTCTTCTCCATGTCCATCTCTCTCACTTGATTCTTATGTCATGAACTTAATGTGGCTCATAACTCTTGTGGTTGATGCAGCCTGATGCGGCAGTGGATAGAGCACTGGGCCTGGAGTCAGGAAGACTTGAGTTTAAATCCAGCCTCAGACACTCCTAGCTCTGTGACCCTGGGCAAGTCATTTAACGGCTACGTGCAAGTTTCCTCAGCTATCATGTGGCAATAATAGTAGCACCTCCCTCCCAGGATTGTTGTAAGGATCAAAGGAGTGAATGCTTGTGAAGCATTTAGCACAGTGCCTGACACCTAGTGCTTACTAAATGCTTATTCCCTTCCCTCCTGCCCAGTTGCCTGCCTCTGGATACCCTCCACCTTATCGGTGTTCAGCCAAGAGCTGAATTCGGTACTCCAGATGAGGTCTGACAAGGGCAGAATACACTAGTCTCATCATGTCCCAGAAATTATGCCCCTCTTACTGCAGCCCAAAGTCATGGCACCTTTTTTCGGTGCCACATCACACTAAGCTTGCAGTCCAATAAGACCCCCAAGTTATTTTTCACAGCTGCTTTCTATCCATTCCTCTCCTATCTTATACTAGTGAAGTTGATTTTTTTTAATCCAAACATAGGATTTTAAAAGTTTCCTCATTGAATTTTATCTTATTGTATTCAGCCCATTGCTTGAGCCTTTCAACCTTTTTTGGACTCTCTCATCCACTGGGTTAGCTATCTCAGATTTTTCTTGTCAGCAAATTTGAAGAGTTTATCAACAACTATGCCTTTTTTCCAAGTCATTGATTGATCTCTTATCTAATCTCCCTGCATTTTCTTCCCTGTTGCAATTTGTTTATATTATGACCTTTTATATATACTCATTGTATTTATTTGGAATTTATTTTGGTGTGTGGTGTCCACTGTTAGGCTAAACTTGATTTCTGTCTTGGCTCTCCAGTTGATTGGTTTTCCTTAAGTATTTTTCAGTGTTGCATGGGGGTGGAGCATTAAGCAGAGATGAGTTTGTGCAAAAACAAAAGGGAAGAATAAGTATAACAACAAAATACACAAATAAAAAGATACTGGGTACTTACCGGGACATCCTGTTCTTTGGCTCCTTCTGGCCCCTTCCCCACTCTCTCAGCCCAGGGAATAAGAAGTGGCTTCCTTCCACCATCCTGGGTTCTATCCCATTTGCCTTTCTCCAGGAATTGTCTACCCCAGCCTGGAAGTAGAAGTTTCTTGGTGGGATTATTCAAATATTCTTTTCTGTGGTTTGTCTGGAGTTTCTGTGGCATCCTATCCGTGTGAAACATTGATTTGAGAGTATAGAATAGTTTCATAGCTGTCCTACCTTTCAGACCCTCTGTCCAGGCATATTTTGAAAGAGTATTGATAGCAATTAAGATAAAACCACTGTTAGAATCAGAAAACTGACTTGTGTCTAACAGGCTGTCTTTCCCATGGGCATCAGAAACTGATTGTGTTCCTAGGAAAACTGGCCTGTTTTGGTTTGTGGAGAATGTAAGTGTCATCCCCACCTTCAGTCAATCACTTACCCCATGGTCCACTCATCCACTCTTTAGGGCTTCCAGGGGAAAAAAAAAAAAAAAGATGAGACACATCTAGCTGTCCCCACACCAGGAGTATAATAGCTTCCCTTTAAGTAAGGGCTGTGCTTTGGTCATACTAGTGCCCCCAACAGAATGATAAGGATACATAAAATTTATTGAGATGGAGAGAGTGAATATTAGTATCTAATAGTATGACATCAGACATGGGCCTTTCTTTTTATGTATTTATAGTTTTGTGTTGATTAGGAGATTCCCATAATGTCTTACAAGTATATCTTTACTAGCCCTCTTCTTGGATTTGGAGTCTAATTGGCTAGCTTCATTGTGGCTGACCTTCTGGGCAGTCTTTCAGAGTTGTCACTCGTATAGCATGGTTATCAAAAAACAGACCATATCTGCCATTATATTCAGGTGGCACAGTGGATGGAGTGCCAGGCCTGGAATCAGGAAGGTCCACGTTTAAATCTGGCCTCAGACGCTAACTGTGGCTCTGGGCAAGTCATTTAACGTTGTTTGCCTCAGTTTCCTCATCTGTAAAATAAGTTGGAGAAGGAAATGGCCAACGTCTCCAGTATCTTTGCCAAGAAAATCCCGAAAGGGTCACAAAGAGTTGGACACGACTGAAATGACTGAAGAACCATAAGCCATTATGTTCAACACAGTCATTTTGTAAGCCACTGATGTGATAAGGTTCGGCACTTAGGAGATTTCAGTATTTGTAGAGGTGTCACACATTTCTACATCCACAGCTTCATTCAGCCCCTTGATTGCAGGAAAACAGTTGCTCAGGTCTGTTCACTACACAATCACTGCATTAATCATTTCTCATACCATTTAGCCATTTTAAAAGGTCTCGGCCCATTACACCCTTCACCACAGGAAGCATCATTCATGAACAGAGTGGCCTGCCCCATTTCTAAGAGCCAAACAGTCAGGTTTCTGGTTCTGATCGTTCCCCTCTTCCTCCTTTCCTGCTCCCGACAGACCAGGAAGGCACCTTTCTTTGTCCTCTTCATGTTCTCTAAGGCCAAGGAACACCAGCTTCTGCAGGTGCTGTCTGGCTGTCATCGGTAAGGGCTTTGGAGCACGTGTAAACATTCTGTGGCTCGTAGTCTGCTGACCACGAGGTGACTAGGAGCCACTTTGGTTTCATAGTTGGGTCTTGGGGTTGAGGTGGAATCCAAAAGGCATAAGTCATCTACAGTCTGGCCCTTCTCTTCTGGTTACTTCTTACTCCCTGATAGCATTCTGGTGTGAAGACAGAGACGATGCTTTGAGGGGAGAGGCCTCAGACCTTCCTCATCTGAGACAGACACAAAGCCTTGGTTCTCTGCCCTTGCTTGTGATTTCCTTGGAGATGAGTATGATTGGAGGCTGTAATTTTGAGTGTGGAAAGGCCAGGGGAATGAGCCATTCGGTAGTCTGTGTCAGGGTTTGTGGCCAGCCAGTCCAGCTTTGAGGCCCTCAAGAACAACTTTCGAGAGCCAGCCTAGCAGTAGGTGAGACGAGGGCTTAGCTAGTAGTGATGCCCTCTCCCCCCTCACCGCCACCCCCCCCCCGCCTGCTTCCTTTTGGATGTGAGGTTGGGTGGAACCAATGATATGTTGAAACTTGGTTAAAACTGAATTCACTCTCCCTAGGGACCAAGGTGATATTGGAGAGAGTATGTTCCCAGGATGTATGTGCAGGGGAATGTTTGTGTTTCAGTTACTGCTATATCATTAAAGTAGATATCCCTTTGTAAAAGCTTTGTTGTTTCTGTTCAGTCATTTGGTTGTGTCTTACTCTCTGCGACCCTATGGACATTGTCCATGGGGTTTTCTTGGCAAAGATACCAAAATGACTTGCACTTCCCTTCTCCAGTCTGTCCCTATTTTACAAATGAAGAACTGGGGCAAAAAGAGGTTAAGTGACTGGCCCAAGGTCACACACCAAGTGTCAACTCATATCTTCCTGATTCCAGGCTCTGTGCTCTATCCATTGAACTGCCTAGTTGCCCTTTTGTAGAAGCTAGTTGGTGTTAATTTGTGAAGTGGAACTGGGGTAGTAGTCACTGGTGGCTAGCAGCGGGGGAATGGTGTGGGGTCCTTTAACCTCTCAAGGCTACTAACAGAGGAAGAGCTTGGAGGCTTTGTGCAGGAGACAATTAGGCCAGAGTACTCGCTACACCACCTTCCTTCAGCTTCCTCCTTCCTGCTTTTTCCTCTCTTGCAGTTGCATGGTAGAGGCACTAGGTGGTGTGGGGGATAGAGCTCTGGGCCTGGAGTCAGGACCTGAGGTCTGACTCGGGAAGACCTGAGTTTAGATTCTTCCCCAGACACTTAGAAGCTATATGAACCTGGACAATCACTTAACCTCTGTTTGACTCAGTTTGCTCAACTATAAAATGGGGATCATAATAGCACCTACCAGCAGGTTTGTTGTGAGGATCAAATGGAATAATATTTGTAAAATGCTTGGCATAGTGTCTGGCACATAGTAGGTGCTGTAGAAATGCTTATTTTCCTTCCCCCATGCCCATGGGATGTTTTGGACCAACTTCTTAATTTTTAGTTAGCTAGATCATTTTTCACTTGAAATGTTTCCTTCAATAAGTGTGATATCCAGTTTAATTCTCCTGAAGGCGTTTCATCTATAGTATCCACAGGGGAGTGTGGGTGAAGGTGCTGAGGGGAGAAAATTCACCAGTCCTGGGTCTGTGCAGTTCAAGCTACAGTCCAACGTTCCTTCCTGTTCTCCAGGTGGATCTAATTTTGCTTCTCTGTATTATTTTTCCTGCCTTTCCCATTTTTATTCTTGGGGGAGGAGGAGGGGTTTCAAAGGTGTTTTATATTTGGTGAAGAAGTTTTGAGATGACCATAGTCCCCCGGCTTTTCTGAAAAATATTTTTGTCTTGGTCTGAAGATCCAATCATTGTATATTAAGAACATATATTCATTTATGTAAGCACCAAAATGTTGGTAAGGAATACTGCTAAAATACCACTGGCTACCAAGATATTGTAAGGAGATAAAAGATGGTTCTCCTCACCCTGGGAGGTGGGGGAACACAGATGTCCTGGACTTGGGCGGGTTGGCTGTGGCCGTGCTGTCAAATGGAGTTAGTTACCTGTTTTGTATCCTGGGGGGAGAGGAGGGAATTGGAGATGAGGAGGAGGGGCGTTAAGGGAAATGAAAGCTGGGTCAAAACAAAAGGCAAAAATAAAAAGTAAAATAACAATACAGCGCAGAAAGTATTTGGAGCCCTGGCCTTGCTGGGACCTCAGGTGTAGGGGGTAGGGGGCGGGGAGAGAGGATGCCGCTCTTCCCAAGCTGCACAGTCTGGGAACACGCGCAGAAGCTTTCCCTGGCCTCAGGACCACATTTCCCACAAGTCCAGGAAAAGCTCTGGGTCTTTCTGCATAGGCCTGCGGCTGTGGACACATAGGAACTACAGCTGGTACCTTGGAGAGCAGCCGGAAGGAAGAATCTCTGGAGATTTCAGTTCTCTGCATCCATTCTCTCTTAGGCACTTAGCAGCCTGCCCCTCCTTGGTGAGTGTCACCTGGTCAGCACCAGGGACACCCAGGCGGCCTTTGGAGGACCTCACCTGGCCGGAAGCCCTCCTCGTTTTCCTGCCCCTGAGCCTCAGTCTGGGAGGAGGGGGGAGGAAAAAGGGGATGGAGGTGCTAGCTGCTCAGAGCCAGGGTGGGTCTGTCTCAGCTTCCTTTGTCCTGGAAGCAGCAGGCGAGGGGCTTTCTGTGAACTACTTGCGTGTCTAATCCTGCACAATCATGGAACTCCTCTGAGTCTCAGTCTCGTCACTTGTAAATTGTGGGGAGGGGGTGTGGAGCAGGGTGATCTGGTCACTCAAATGCCTTCTAGCCCAAAATCCACGGTCCCATGAATTCTTCCTGGTGCTGGGAGTGATGAGAAAATGCTGGCCTTATTCCTTTCTGATCTCTCCTTCCCAGATCTGCCTTCTGAGAACTCTGTTGTTTTCTAAAAGGAGAAGGAAATGGTCCCTATCGGCCCCCCAACCAGCTTTCAGGTGAGTTGGAGTTTCTTCACGACCAAAATGATTAAAACCTTGATTTTTAGAGCACAGACCAATTTCTTTCCCGTATATTGGAAACCAAGAGACAGAGTCTCTACCTGATAATTATTGCTTTATACGTTTCTAGCTTTCTTTTCCTCCAGTCCTCATTTCATTGGTTAAGACAATCGTGGCTGTTAAGTACTTGGTACTGAACTAGATGCTGTAAGGGATGAAAAATAAGTATATGTGGCTGCCCCTTCAAATAAAGAGCTTTGAGTTTCATTATGGAGACTAGATCAAGACTAACTCTTTAATACGTATTACTTATGCTGTCCCCAGTAATGTCTACTGTTGAAGTGCTAAAATCAGTTCATAAAGAGATTAAGTACTATGTGAGTTAGGAGATTGGGGATCAAATGAGCAGGGAAAGATCATTGAAGACTCCTCTGACTTGGGCATTGGGGATAGTTAGGTTTTGGGTAGTTGGGGAAGAGAGAGTTATACCACAGCATCTCTTGGAATCAGTGTGAAGTCTGGGTTGGTTGTAATAGATAGTTCACCTTAGGCAGTGGTAGGAGATGAGTCCAGTTGTGCCCAGAATGTAGACAACCATAAAGAACATAGTATTCAGTTTGCACCTCTTCAGAGAGCAGATCTTTGAGGGGCAGCTAGGTGGGTCCGAGGATATAGTGCTGGACTTGGAGTTAGGAAGATAAGAGTTTGAATTCTGCCTCAGACACTCTGTGTGACCCTGAGTAAGTCTGCTTCAGTTCCACAATAATACTACTTCCACATATTTTTATAAACTTTTTCACTTTACGATCATTACTTGGGCATTGGAAGCAGGAATGTCTTCTGTGGGGGGGGGGGAGGTATGAGAGGGCAAGTTGTAGGAGCTGTGGTCTGTTGAGAAAAGAGAGATCTGCAACATCATGGATGAAACCAAATCCCAGTGGGCTAAGAAGGGAATGTATTGAAAAGAAAAAGATGGACATACCTGAAACATATTTAAAGTAGTTGACCAAGGACACCGGGTCACAGAGGAAGTAAAGTTAGGGAGAAGCTGATGGTCTTTTTCCTGAATGGTGGGTGCTGATGGGGGAAATTGAGGTATCAACGAGGATGCAGAATAGATATAATGGATGTTGAAGAGTGAGAGAGCTAATCAAAAAAGAAGTTGGGGTGAGAAATGGAACCATCCAGTTTGAGATGTTTAGGTATGAAACAGTGGCTATTGGAGTCCAGCCCGTGACCATGCTCTCTGATGGCTTATTGTGGAGTAGGGGTGAGTGAATGGAATGGCAATGATCCATCTGACTTTTTAGTGATGTGTTGTGAATGTCAAAGTGAACAAAGATACAGAGAAGAGCAGGATGGACACATAAGATAACAACCAAACGCTGAAATTATCTAGGCAGGGTGAAAGGTGGCACTTGGGAATGGGTATATGAAGGTAAAGATGATACCATTGCAGCCTACCCTCTAAATGGTTCTGCTCCAGAATGGGTTCCAGGTTCTTCAAGTGAGTCTTTGGGTATGGAGAATTCATGAGTTTCCTCAGTAGCTTAAATATATGTTTGTAGGATGTGGGAAGGAGTGCCGTGGACAAGTCACAATAATGACAACTCCATAAATAAAAGCATGGAAGCTTGGTAATTTCTAGGAGCCCCCAGTAGCGTGGATAGAGAGAAGCAGCAAAGCCTGGTCATCAGTTCTGTAGTCAGCGCAGCAAGTTCCATTTACCAGCTGCAATATGGAACATCAGGGCACCCTTTTGTATGATCTTATGCGTTTTGGAGGTATCTGAGAGTTTAGGAAACAACTGCATTTAGGGTTAGGGTTGACTAAACAGTAAGAAAGATAGATGGGGGATGTAGGGAATGAGGGATGTAGGGAATGAGGCATAACTTGAAACACTGTGGGGCCAATGATGGAGGAAGATGAAGAGAGAGCATGGTGATCAGTAAAATAGGGGAGCCAGAGGAGCCTAGAAGGAGGAGGCACAGAGTGACTGGTGCCAGAAGAGCAAAGAGCCTAGATGTCTGTAACAGCCTCCTTTTATTTTCTGGGGGTCATTCTCACCATGTTTTAGTGTCAGTTTCTCTCCCATCAATAACCTCCATTTGGACACCTATTTATCAGGTGATGCTATTTGTAAAGGTTGTGCTGTCTCCTCTTTCCCTAGCAAAAACTCAGAGGAAGACATTTTGCACAATCTTCTTTCAACCAACAGAATTCTTTAATTACTCTGATTTAGCTTCACTTAAACTAGTAGGCCTGGAAATTCCTCCAATGCCTGGGACCTGGATAGGATTCATCTGAATGTCAGGCCCTAGCTTGTTTCCGATTCCCTATACCCTTCCTTCATTTCTTCTTTATTTTATCTCTATTTTTGTTTAGGGTTTGGGATTACAGAATACCCAAGAATTTGTGTTAACCCAGAGTGTCCTAAACTATACACGTGACTCAAGGTTGGGGTTAAGGCTGATGGTTTTCCAGACTATCGATTCCATCAAGACAATGATGCTGTTTATAATTTGTCACTCACCTTGCGGGGTGTCATTGGCTCCTGTTACCCTGGATTTCTTTAAGTGACAAGTTGTTCTGATAGAGCATTTCTTCTGAGGGCTCTTATTCCTCAATATTCTGTTGTGCATAGGCAGTTCAGCACTGTTTGTCTTTAGCTTTTCCTAAGAAGTGTTTGCATTGAAAAGGGACCATGCTCCGGCCTTGGAGTCAGGAGGACCCAAGTTCAAATCCGGCCTCAGACACTTGACACTTACTAGCTGTGTGACCCTGGGCAAGTTGCTTAACCCTGATTGCCTCACCCAAAAAAAAAAAAAAGAAAAAGAAAAGGAACCATGGTGGATTACAGTGGACTTTATTTTCTAGGGAGGCAAAGAAGACTTTTTATTGACCTAAGAAGCTTCAGGGTCTGAATCTGAAAGAAGACCTCTGACCTCTGGTCAGACTTCAGTCTCCTTTTCCTTGAACTGTTTGTAGAATATTGCATATATTGTGAGACTTGACTGATCTGTTGATTGGTTTTGCTGAACTGTCTTTTTTCTCTTGTTTATTCTTAATTACGAGGGAAGGCTCATTGAATTGGGGAGGGAGGAGCTATTTATTTGGAAGTAAAAGTGATATAAAAACAAATTCAATAATTTTTTTAAAAGAATGATGATAAGAAGAAGTAAAACGAGGTCCCTTTGGTCTTTTAATTGCCTCACTGAAGGACACAGTAACTTATTACGCAGGTCACTGGCTCATCATCCTGAAGTCTTTCCAAGTAAGTTTCTAAAAGACTGTATAAAATATGCCACTTAAACTATGCAGACTTAATTCTTCCCATACCCTGGGTAGCTTCTGGATATTTCCACTCTATGATTTCTGCCACTATGAAAGCTTTTGGGTCCTCCTTGGTGCCAATTTAGTCCTTCCCAAATAGCAAGCTAGAGTGCAGTCCAGCTACTTTTGTGTAGGTGTGAATAACGGGTTTCAAACTAAGTGAAAGTGTGTGACTCAAAGCGCTCATGTGAAGAACATTAAATGCTGGAGCACTGCTCTTTCAATGTGCTGCAGAGTTAAATATACTTTTTTTTAAAATAGCATTTTAATTTTCTATTTCATGAAAATCTGCTCTCTCCCCCTCCCACCTCCATCCCTCCACCTTCATTGAGAAAGAAAGAGAAACAAAATCACTCATAACCAAGCAAAACAAATTCCCTTGTTGGCCATATCCCAAAAAATATGTCTCAAATGGTATTTTGAATTCATCTCTCTGTCAGGAGGTGGACAGCATGTTCCATCATCAGTCCTCTGGAATTGTGGTTGATCAGAGTTCTGAAATTATTCTGAGTTGTTACTTTTTCCAGGAATATTGTTCTTGTTTACATTGTTCTGGTTCTCACTTCACAGAGTTGACTACAAAATTAAACACGTAGCTGATACTTAGTTAATGCTTTGAACAATAACTTAGTAATTGATCTGCCTTCCTTCTCCAATACATTCTCCACAAAGCTGTCAATACAATACTCCAAAGCCACCACTGTGACCTGTCCCTCCTCTGTTCAGTAGAGTCTGGTGTCTCTATTGCCCCCAGCAGCAAATACCAGCTCCTTTTTTTTTTTTTAAATTAAAAACCCTTCACTACCTTATTCCAGACAACTTCTCCAAGGCCTAGTAGATGGTATCCCCCTATACCCACTCTCTGGTCCAGCCAAACTGGTCGTCTTAATGTTTCTCATATACAACATTCCATCTCCCATTTCCATTCCTTTTCCCAGAATCCTCCATGCCTAGAAGGTGCTTCCTCCTCATCTGTACCTCTTAGAATGCCTGTCCTCCTTTGGATCTAAGCTCCAGTACTGCCTCCAGCATGAAGACTTTGTTGACCACCTCTTTTTAAAAAATTATATGCCCAGTTCATTTATCTTTCTCTCTTTCATTGATAAAAGTGTTCGAAGATACACATTTTTCCCTAAGGACTGCTTTGGCTGCATCCAAACATTTTGGAATATTTGTGTATCTGTTGTTCTCTCTGATAGAATGTAAATCTTCCATAAACTATACTTGCCATAAAGACAGCAGTGACTCTATCAGATTGTAAATTCCTTGAGAGCAGGGACTATCTTTTGCCTCTTTTTTGTATCCGTAGTGCTTAGCACACTGCCTAGCACAAAGGTGCTTAATAAACACTTGTCGATTGCTGGACTATGGCCCTGTTCTTTATTAGCTTATATGTTGGAGGTAGGAGGGTGTCATCAGCCCTGATAAGTAAATAGCAGATATATACATGGTAAAGAAAAACTAACTTCTCCAGGAAATAGACCTTAGGAACTAGGGGCCAGGAATGGATAAGGATTGGTCTCATACAGGAAGTGTTGCTTGGGCTGAACGCTGAAGGAAGGTAGAGTCTACAAGGCAGCAATGGGGAATACTCAGCCCCTGAACTGTTATGAAGGATACTTCTGATATAGCTGGCTAACTTCTAGTCACCCCAAAGGCCCACGTGAAAGAGGTTTCCTGGGTGACCAGGAATTTGTTGAATGTTTCAGGAGTCAGTGACGTTCAAGGATGTGGCTGTGGAATTCACCCGGGAGGAGTGGAGGCAACTGGACCCTGCTCAGAGGAGCTTGTTCAAGGATGTGATGTTGGAGAACTACAGGAACCTGGTCTCCCTGGGTAAAGGCAGATTTCCTTTTTGACTCCAAATTTGCTTACCGGGGCTTCACGTTCTCATTTGCTAGAGGTTGTGTGGTGTCTCCAGAGCTCAGCTCACTTCTGTGGGCTCAGCTGGCTTGGTGGGCAGGAATATTCTGGGATATGTGTGATATTGGGGCTCGTAGGATCCCAAATTTAGAGTTGGAAGGGATGACCCTAGAAATTATCTAATTCCTGACCCTTATTTTATGGATGAGAGACTGTGTTCAAAGCACTTTCCCATTTCTTCCCCCTGAGCAGGACTGGCTGTTAACAAACCAGGTGTTATCTCCCATTTGGAAAGAGGAGGAGCACCGTGGATTCCAGAGAGAGCTGTCTCAGGAGGCACCTTTCCAGGTGGGTGATTGAAAACCAGGCAGTTGGGAGTCACTGCAAGGAAGAGCTGCAGTCTTCTGGTTGTCCAAGGGCAGTGTCTTTCAAGTACTGGCTGAGGTCCATGCCTCAGAGTTTCCCGGGCTCTGGGAGAAAGCCTGCATCTGTCCAGCTGGAGTGTTCTCATGTACATTCACCTTCACTTCAACCAGTCAGTTGCCCTAGGATCACTGAATGGTCGATCTCGGAAGGACCTTAGATGTCCCTTCTACCATCTGCTTTTATAGATTAGGCCACTGAAGCCCTGAGACCTGAAATGAGAAAGAATTACACGATCTCAGCACCGGAAGGGACTTCGAAGGCCGTCTAACCCAACCCGCGCTTTTATGAAAGTTAGAGAAGCAGAGTCCATTCTGTGTCCCACCTGCTAAGTGTCCAGCCTGTGCTGCCATACCTTCGCTGAGGTGGAACCCACCACCCTCAAGGCAGCGCGTTCACCCCTTCTAGACCGCTCACGTGGGGCATGTGTTCACCAGCTCTTTGTACCTTCTGCCCGGAGCGCTGCCCTGTGGGGCCAAGCATCGCAGCTCCAGGCCCTCTTCTACATGACAGCCCTTTAAATATTAGAAGACAGCTTTGGCGTTCCCCTTTTCTCCCTTTAATCATCAGGAGCCATCCTGGTTGTCATCATCTTGACATCATATGGCACATCACTATCCTTCCTTACCTTTTATACAAGCACAACACTCGTTTGGTCTTCTCTTTCCACTGCATTCATAGTTTGACATTTCTGCTTGTTCTATGCAGTTTCAGAGAAAGGTGTTTATCTTTCTGTATCTGTCGTTGTCAGGCTTCCCTTTCCACCTTGTCTTCCCCCTTCATCCCCTTCCACGGTCATCCCAGAATTTGTCCAGGATTAATAGACTCTACTAATCCCTTCCTGGGCCAGGCTTCCCTCCCCCTTTCTTGCTTGACTGCTCACGTGGCTTGGATGAGATGAATGTCAATAACTGTTACATATGATGACATGTAGCCTGCCATCGACTCCTGAGGTCTTCCAGGCCTGACCTTCTGCCCTGCCTCTATCCCTCACAGTCCCTGGGCACTGTCATCCAATCTGCCTGTGTAATTTATGGATCCTTGGGCCTTGCCACCCACCTATTTCCTGAATCTTGGGCCTTTGCCCATACCTTGCAGCTGAAGTTTCTTTTACGTGTTTTCTTCCCTATTTATAGGGTAAGGTCTCTGAGAGCAAGGGTTATCTTAATTTGTCTGTTTGTATTCCCACAGTGCTTAGCTAATAATAAATACTTAATGTTTTTTATTCTTTCTCAACTCACCTAGGTAAACATTTATTAGGGATCACGGCTAAGCCCTGAGGATATGAAGAAGCCTTAGTTCTTCTCCGTGATGCAGTATTTATGCAGAGAGGTGAATATGAGATGATTCCAGGAGGGAAAGATCCTGGTCACCTGATAACAGATGCAGAATGTTGAGAGAAGAAAAAGCTTTATGTAGATCCTCATTGGGATGGTGTTTGAGCAGAGCCTTGAGGCCATGGATTTCAGGTGTTGGAGTTGAGGAGGGAGGTAAAACACTTAAAGTTTGAAAGAACGTTTTCAAAAGTAACCCTTCAGATTTTTTACTGTGTCCACTTGGAACGCGAAGGGCTGCAAACAAAATGCAGCGAAGTGTGTTAGACACGGTCAGAGATTGGCCTCAGGACACAGGTCATGTCTTGGCTTCTGGTGGGCTTGGCCACTTGCTGTTCCCTCACCTGGACAGTCTATATCCAGTCACTGGCTTTTGTGGGGTCAGGCCCCCATAGCACAAATGTGCTTCCTTTTCAAAAACTTTTACCTCTTTGTAGGTATCATTCTTTTAGTTCTACTTTCTTCACTCTGTGGCATTTCATAAAAGGTTTCCCATGTTTCTCTGAATTCTTCATGTATCGTTTCAAAATCTATTATTACATTATATAATTAAATTATGTAACAAAATTCCAGAGGTGACATGAACCTTAATTGTTATCAGTTAATCGGCAAGCATTTATTAAATGCCTATGCCCTGCAGTGGGTGTCAGGGATAGGACAAAAATGAAAAAGTCCCTGTTCTCAAGGAGCTACCCTTCTTTCTAGTTATTCAACTTGTTCCAAATCTACCTAGTTTTATTGCCACCTAATCCACACCTCACATTTCCTGTAAGAACAGGATGAGAGACTTGGTCAAAAACTCTGCTAAACCTATCTACATGCTATATACAGCATTTGCCTGATTTACCAGTTTAATTACTCTTTAAAAAAAAAGAAAAAAATCTTAGTCCCACCTGTTCTTGATGAAGCAATGCTCGCTGGTCTTTTGTGATCACTGCTTCCTTGCTGTGATTTTCACTAATCATACCTTTATAATAGGTTTTAGAATTTTCCATGACTGAAGACCAAGATCATGGGTATATAGGTTTGCAATTCCATTCTTATCTCTTTTGGGAATCAGGATATTTGCCTTTCTTCAGTGCTGGGATGATAGTATTAGCAAGCAATTTTGATATCATGTTTTAAAGTCTATGGAGCATGTTACATATGTTATCCCCTTTGAGCTTCAGCACCTTGGGACGAAGATACTCCAGGTATTATTATTGTCTCCATTTTGGGGATGAGGAAACTGAGTCCCAGAGAACCTAAGGGACATGTGCATGGTGACAGAGAGTAAGTGTGAGAGGTAGTGTCTTATCCATGCACCACCATCTTTCATTGATTATCAACCTTGGTTCAGTACTGACACCTGCCACTGTCCTCGGTTATCAAGAGTCTAGCTCATCTGGCCCTGTTGTTCAACTGTCTTCTTACTTACCTTGGCCATCAGTTCCTTATAAACAAGTAGGGCAGCTTTGAAAGTGACATAATAAATTTATTATGTGCTTAAAAAGAAAAACAAGCTGTATGTAATCGATCAGCATTTCATATACAACGCCCCCCTTCTGTTCTATAGTATAATTTGAATGTTCATTTTATTTGGCATTCACTTGAGAGTTAAAAAAAAAAACTTATAAGACATTTTTGTTCTGATCTTTAAAGTCCAAAATGGTATGCTTCAGTCTGTATTCAGACAATATTAGTTCTTTCTTTGGAGGCAGCTAGCATGTTTCGTCATGACATGTCCTTTGGGATTGTCTTGGATCATTATATCACTGAGAATGGCTAAGTCATTCACAGTTCTTCATCACACAGTATTGCTATAACTGTATACAATGTTCTTCTGGTTCTGTTCACTTCAATTTGTATTAATTCATTTAAGTCTTTCCAGGTTTTTCTGAAATCATCCTGTTTGTCATTTCTTATAGCACAATAATATTCCATTATAATCATATACCACAGCTTGTTCAGCCATTCCCCAATTAATGGCATCCCCTCAATTTCCAATTCTTTGCCACCGCTAAAAGAGCTGCTATAAATATTTTTGTAGAAATAGGTTCTTTTCCTTTTTTTTAATCTCTTTGGGATACTGACCTAGTAGTGGTATTGCTGGATCAAAGAGTATGCACAGTTTTGTAGCCCTTTGGGCATAGCTCCAAATTGCTCTCCAGAATGGTTGGATCAGTTCAGAACTCCTCCAACAGTGCATTGGTGTTCTAGTTTTCCCACATCCCCTCCAACATTTATCATTTTCCTTTTTTGTCATATTAGCCAATCTTATAGGTGTGAGGTGGTAATTGCATTTCTCTAATCAATAGTGATTTAGAGCATTTTTTTCATGACTATAGATAAATTTGATTTCTTTGTCTGAAAACTATCAGTTTGTATCCTGTGACCATTTATCAATTAGGGAATTACTTGTATTCTTATAAATTTGATTCAGTTTTCTATATATTTGAGAAATGAGACCTTTATCAGAGATACTTGCTATAAAAACTTTTCCCCCAGTTTTCTGCTTTCCTTTTAATTTGGTTGCATTGATTTTAATTTGTGCAAAACCTTTTTAATTTTATATAATCAAAATTATCCATTGTACATTTTGTAATGTTCTCCATATCTTGTTTGGTCCTAAATTCTTCCTTTATCCATAACTCTGACCAGTAAACTATTCCATGCTCTCCTAATTTGCTTATAGTGTCACCTTTTATGTCTAGCTCATGTACCCATTTTGAGCTTTTCTTGGTATACAGTGTGAGATCTTGGTCTGTACCTAGTTTCTGCCATACCGTTTTCCAGTTTTTCCAGCAGTTTTCATCAGATAATTAGTGTTTGTCCCAAAGGCTTGGACCTTTGGGTTTATCAAACACTAGATTACTATGGTTATTTAGTACAATATATTGTATACCTGATCTATTCCACTGATCCACCATGCTATTTCCTAGCCAGCACCAGATTGTTTTAATAATATAAAGACTTCTTGAAAGAAAACTGAGCTTTGAAAGGAGTTAGGTATTGCAAGAAGCAGAGACGAAGAGGGAGAGCACACCAGGCATGAATTATCATAGGCCCAATCTAAAGCACGTTCCAGGTGTAGGATACCATCAGTCCTTGGGGAGCACAAAACATAATTAAAATCAACTGGATTGCTATGTGATCAGAAATGATCAGAAAAGACATAAGGTTAAAATAAAATAATAATCACTTCCTCTTGCAGAATCAGTAGGCTGATAAGCATTCTTCAAAGAGTAGCAAGAGGCAAGGTGAAGCTTCTGACCCTAACTCCCTTTGGGCTGTGATTTCTTATCTCAGGCAAGGAAGAAACGAAATGGCCCTCTTTCCCCCTTCAAGAACTAGGCTGCCCTACACAAAGCAGGTGCCACTGTTCCCACAGAGAGGGAAGATGGAATGTCTGGCTCTGAGGGAAAATGATGTATAATCAGCCTGAAAAAAAAAAATAGACTGGTCGTAGATTTTGAGCAGCTTTGAAGGCCAAGCCTTCTTTGGTAATTGAGAGCTACTGAAACATTCTGGGCCTTGGTTTCCTTTTCTGTAAAATGAAAGAGTTGAACTCACCACCCTCCAAAGGGTGGTTCTTCCCACTCTGGATCTATG